GCTCCCATTTATTAACATTTCAACAACAAGTTGCATATTTGCATAACGTATTCAAGTGTTACCATTTAGTGCAATAGTAGCTACAGAACATGTGCTGTGTAAACTGTACTGTATCACATAGCGTTTCAGACACACAAACTTTTCAACTTTCAAACTTAAACGGTGCGCTCCCAGCGCACGTACCGGCAGTGATCTACAGCAGTGGTTTTCAACCAGTGGTACGGGGACAAACTGTCTCGCTCTCGTAATGTCTGTCTGTCTTGCTCTCGTTCTGTCTCTCGTACCACTCTCGGTTCCACTTTTACTTTTGCGCGCTACCTGTCTCACTCTTTTCCGGCCTCCAGCTTTTCCTACTGGAGCCCGCCGCTTAAAGGTGGGGGGCGCGGACCGGCCATAGAGCCCATAGAGTTAAAGGTGGTGGACTGTAACCTGTAAAATCCATAGATTTAGGAGGTCCCCTAGTGGCCGTTAGCTGTAAAAATCCATAGATTAGCCGCACCGTTATATAAGCCGCAGCGTCGAAAAAAATGGGAAAAAAGGCGCGGCCTATAGTCCGAAAATTACGGTACATACATCTGAAAAAGGGGTGTCAGATAGTAAATGCAATTCTTAGGAAGAACAAAGGGCGACCAAAATAGGCTTACTTGAGATGCCTGCATCGAAGTATATGGTTGGTTAGGGGCTATTTGTCTGATCTGCTGCCCGATCATGCTTTGATTCTGAAAAGAGAAACAGCAAGTCAGTGAACAGCAAAGATTCAATGCTTCTACCAGGAGTGGAAGAGTATTTGGTGGCAATGTTTTCACTTAAAAACACATATACAACATATCATAATGTTGTATATGTGTATAACTACTCTTTATGGTCAACTCTATCCAGCTATAATGGGTGTGGACCGACTCACCAGTCTGACCTGTAGCTGCTGCCGCAGTATCTGGCCCTGAGGCATGGTGGGCTGGGGCTTATAACCCATCGGGTATTGCTTGTCCATGCCCATCATGCCAGGCATAACCCCCGGCATACCGGGAATCATGCCTGGGTAGCTGGGCCGGTTGGGCATCATTTTGTTCATCTGTGGGTTGCGGGCAGGTCGGTATGGAGGCTCTAAGCCTGGACCTCCTGTGGAAAAACAAACAACGTTAACAACAATCCCAGATGGCATTTTGTTGTTTAAAAGGAAAGCTCTTGATGAGTGCTCAACAGTGTCTTATCCTGTTACTAACAAAGACCATAATGATGACAGAATATGCCATTAACTGACCTGGAGGTAGAGGCTGGTTCTGTGTGTACATGTTCATGCTCTGCTGGCCGTACGGCATCCGGCCATATGGATGGTTCTGCATCATCTCAGGTTGCATATTAGTCCCATAAGCCACACCACCTGGTGCACGGTTGACATAGTCCTAGTGAGAAGAAGGAGAACATTTCAATATTTTTCAACGCATGTCCTGAAAACAATAATACAAAAATCACATTACTCCTAAAAGGCTAATGCTCACGAATAGGCTAGCACAGACGAGCTCAGGTTACTACATTACATTGCTCACAAGGTCTATGGATTATTTTGAGTAACCGGGTCATAATTTCTGGAGAGAGATATTGCAGTTGAGCTTTTTTAATGTTTTATTTTGGCATTTAATACCCCAAGCTAAGTTCCATGTAGTTCAGTGTTTCTCAAACCTTTTCATACCAAGGACCACTTAACCAATAAAAAAACACTCGGGGACCACCTAACTCCACAAATATCCAAAAGCAATAGGCTTACCGCTCCAACAGTATATAACAAATTACAGCCTAATAATGACAGCTTAACCTTCTCTATATCGCCTCGTTCACACATTAAATCAACAATACAACTACAAATACAGATTATATAAGCATTTCATTCAAATGCTCAGGTTTTACACCTCTTATGAAATGTAGACTACATTTATTACGGAGTTTATGTCCGAGCTAACAGACTCACAGATCATTGGCTACTGAGAGATATGCAAAATACACCACATGTAGTACGACACAAACCTCCGCTGTGGATTTTCAAAACAAAATACAGTAAAGCTATGGTCGCAGGCCCACGTTTAACTCTATGAGGTCTCAGCCATTTTTTCACATGTTAGGCTCGCCTGGGCTTTTTTTTTGTAAAAATGCTAATAAAACATGAACCTTGGTGACCATTGGGCTGGCCTGCATGGGCTGCCTACTAAACAAAAATAGAAAAACGTTTTTGGAGCCCCAACAACGAACTCTGATCATCAACAGACTTCATGCAATGCTTCATTGGATGCATATGTGTGACCTGCTTTGCATTGACCTGAAGACACATTTTGACTTGTATACACAGTTGGAAAGAGTTGATTCCTAGCTTTCTAATGATATCAGGATTGTTGTTGTACTCCAAATATTAAGCAAAATATGTCATTATATAATGACTGTTACCAAGTCATCATTTTGAGAAAAAGGCCTTCAAAGTTTCCTCTTCTCTGGAATCCATCGATCTGATTGATTATTAGCGGAGCAAATGATCAAAGTAGTACGGAGGGAAAATATTTTTGTTAGGATTACTGGTCTGGGGGAAGCTTGTGTGTGTGTGTGTGTGTGTGTGTGTGTGTGTGTGTGTGTGTGTGTGTGTGTGTGTGTGTGTGTATATTGTGTTTGTTTCCCGGGGAAAACACTCACGAGAAACACCGGCTTTTGTTATGCCTGCATTGGCGTCAAGTTACACCGTTCTCCGCTTGTAATTATGCCGTTACAAGCCTCAAAGTTGTATTTATCATCTGAATTTGCCGAAACAAGTTTAATATTCTGAAAGCCAAGACTTTGTTTATTTGAAATCAGATGAAAACAAACTGTAACGGACCCTGCCATGTTATCTATGNGTAGTACAGGCTTCGGCTGTTGTTATGCCTGTTGTGACGTTAAGTTACTCCGTTCTCCACTTGTAATTATGCCGTTACAAGCCTCAAAGTTGTATTTATCATCTGAATTTGCCGAAACAAGTTTAATATTCTGAAAGCCAAGACTTTGTTTATTTGAAATCAGATGAAAACAAACTGTAACGGACCCTGCCATGTTATCTATGATTACTATACGCCTTACATTCCTAATT